TCTAGTGCCGGGAGGCGCCCCCCGGAGGTGGGCGTGCCCGGTGCAGCCTCGGGGGAGGTCTGGCAGGTTCTGGAAGCTTCCAAAAAAAAGACGCGGTGCCGGAACCGAAGTGTCGCCACTGAGGACAACAGAGGTCTAACCTCTTACATTAATTTATCATTCTACCAAGTACTACAGTCCCTGTGACCTGCTAATTCTTCTAGAAATACCACAGATACGATTAGTTATTTTAGAAATTTATTATTAAGAATTTATAAATAGAAAGTTTAGTAAATTTAGTAGAAAAGCTGTTCCTAAATTCTCAAATACGTTGACTAAATTGTGTTAACGTTATTAACTATCTGTTCCCGAACACATTCTAAATAATGAGAGGATAAAGAAGGGGTGGCAACCAAATCTAACTCTAGAACCCCTTATGAATGCTCACTTTCCATGTGTACAAGAGGCTCTGTATGGAAAGACAAAAAGCAAGAAACTCGGTCATCTACAGCAATATTTTGACGATAGCGTCAACAGCTAGCCCCCTGAGCCAGGGGTAAAAACGCAAAAGAAATGGGCGACCCCGGAATCGAACCGGGGTTTCTTCGGATCGCTTGTGTTGACTTACGTCACCCACAACGAAGCGTCCTGACCACTAGACTAGTCACCCGGTGAGGTTTGTTGGTTGTTGAAATCTTGCATGGATTCCACCCTCAGAAAGGGGCATAGCATTGCGGTCACAACACCCAACTCACCCTTTACACCATGATGCAGACAACCGACATCTGCAGATTCGGTTCCATTCGCGGCTGATCTAAGCGATTCCCGAGCAGATCCTCAAACAATATCCCACCACTCAGGCTGCATGCGTTCCTGCGGCCCCTCGCGGCGAAAAGGAAATCCGTGAATAGGACCATCGCCGGTTGATGTCATCTTTCCCGGAACCAAGTCCGGCGAGAACTTCAACACCAACAAAAGTATCTACAAAAATGATGCCTCAAAATCACTGTAATTTGTTGTCAACACTAGTGTGGTACTATCATCGAGGTGACAAGCATGCAAAATGGTATCTGCCCACAATGTCCTAAAAATCAGCCTCTGCATCTTGCTCGCCGATCTTGCCGGTGCTCAGGGGCAGACCGAAGATCTCCGCCAACGCATCAGCATCAATAAAGGCTGGAAGTTCTCTCGCTCGGTATCAAATAACGAAAAACTAGTCTACGATGTTCGCTCCGACACTCCTTCTGTAGGACAGGTCCAGATGCTAAACTCTTGGGTGCTGCCATCTGCCAACGATTTCATCACCGACACCAAGAAGCATCACTCCCGGCCATCGGCTTCGTTTTCGGGGAATGTCACTCTCGCGCAACAAAACTTCAACGACAAAGCATGGGAAACGCTAGACTTACCGCATGACTGGGCCATCAAGGGACCCTTTTACGTAGGAGATGGAGTACCTGTCATGGGAGGCATGGGGAGACTTCCCATTCAGGGGGTGGGCTGGTATCGCCGCCAACTCAACATCACCGAGGCCGATGCAGCGAAGCAAATCTTTCTGGAGATTGACGGTGCAATGTCGTACTCTATTGTCTGGGTGAATGGACGCCTGGTGGGAGGCTGGCCATATGGGTACACGTCGTATCGGCTCGACTTGACCTCTTATCTTAAGCCGGGGCAGGATAGCCTCTTAGCAATCCGCCTTGACAATCCCGTTCAGTCGTCGCGGTGGTATCCTGGTGGCGGCATCTACCGAAACGTCTGGATCACCAAAGTTGAAAAGGTTCATGTTGGCCAGTGGGGAGTGGTTGTAGCGGCGCGGAATGTTTCATCTCAAGAATCTACTGTTGAACTCAGCGTCAAGGTCGACAATACCGGAACCACTGCAGAGGAAGTCGAAGTAATCACGGATCTTCATGAGGTGATGGCGCAAGGAGCTGTTGGCAGGAAAGTCAAGACACTGCCCCGGTCACTCGTAACAGTCGAAGAAGGGCGATCGAAAAGGATTAGCTCCTCCACAGTGCTCTCAACCCCTAAACTCTGGGGCCCTCCACCAACACAACAACCCAACCTCTACGTGGCTGTTACTCGCTTGCTGGTTGCGAACAAAACAGTCGACTCGTATACCACCCAGTTCGGAATCCGATCCTTGGAGTTCAACGCCAACAAAGGGTTCTTTGTCAACGGGGAACGAATCCGCCTGCAAGGCGTCAACGAGCACCACGACTTTGGCGCGTTGGGAGCAGCCTTTAATCTCCGGGCGGCAGAGCGCAAGCTGGAAATTTTACGAGAGCTCGGCGTCAATGCCATCCGCATGTCCCACAACCCGCCTGCCCCTGAATTTCTCGACTTGACAGACCGATATGGCTTTGTGGTGATCAACGAGTCCCTTGACTGCTGGGGGCGGCAGAAAAACAACAACGACCACCATCTTTTGTTCAGCGACTGGTCCGAGGCCGACACAAGAGCCATGTTGCGCAGGGACAGAAACCACCCCTCGATCATCGCATGGAGTGTGGGCAACGAGGTAGGCGAGCAGACAACAGGAGCTTCTGGTGCCACCATCGCCAAGCGTCTGTGTTAAATTGTCCACGAGGAAGACTCTCGGCCATGCACAGCTAGCAAAAATGCAGCTCGCCCTGAGATGCCTTTCCCAAAGGAGCTGGACCTGATCTCGCTGAATTATCAGGGTGAAGGGATACGAGACACACCCCCTTATGCTGGTCTCGAGGGGATCAAAACTGGTCCTTCGTACGGAGATTTCCACAAGGCTTTCCCAGAGAAAATGATATTCTCCAGCGAATCAGCAGCCGCCCTGAGCACCAGAGGCACGTACCTTTTCCCCGTCACAAAAGAGTACTCGGCACCAGTGACAGATGGCAAGGCAGACGGCGGCGGCAACCCCTCTCTCAGACAAGTTTCTTCCTACGAGCTCTACACGACACCTTTTGGCTCTTCAGCAGATAAAGTCTTCGCCAAACAAGACGAGAACAATCCTTTTGTTGCGGGAGAGTTTGTGTGGTCTGACTTTGACTACCTGGGCGAGCCCACGCCCTATTATTCGGCGCGCAGCTCGTATTTTGGCATTATAGAGTTGGCGGGCTTCAAGGAAGACCGGTTTTGGCTGTATCAGGCGAGGTGGCGGCCCGATCTTCCTATCGCACACATCCTCCCGCACTGGACCTGGCCCGACCGAAAGGGGCTGATCACACCCGTGCACGTGTTTACGGGGGCCGACGAGGCCGAGTTGTTTCTCAACGGCAAGAGTCTGGGACGTAAGTCCAAGAAAGAAGGCTATCGTTTCCGGTGGGACGATGTTGTCTATGCTCCCGGAGAGTTATCGGTTGTTACCTGGAAAGACAAGAAGCCATGGGCCAATGAGGCGGTTACAACGGCTGGCGATGCCAAGGGGTTGGCTCTTCAAGCCGACAGATCCGTCATTCAGGGAGACGGGCAGGATCTCAGTTTTATCACGGCCAAAGTAGTTGACGGAGATCATAACCTGGTGCCTAGCGCCAACGATACCATCACGTTTTCAGTAGAGGGTGACGCCGAAATCGTGGCCACAGATAACGGCGATCCTTACGACATGGTTCCTTTTCCCTCAAAGGACCGAAATGCCTTCTCTGGGTTGGCATTGGTGATTGTGAAGGGCAGAGGAAAAGGAATGGCTATCCTGACAGCGAGTAGCCGGGGTTTGGCAGCAGCAAAAATCGAGTTAACGTTGCGGTGAAGATGGCTTCATACGACTACCACCTACCCTATGCGCTGTACGAATAAATAAAAGGCCTTCTGTGCCCCAGAGGAATTCCTAGTGGTTCTTGGCTTGTAAGCTTGGTTCTGGCTTTGAGAAACCCAACACGAAAACTTTCAAGACTATTGACAGGCTCCGCAGCCCGAGCCGGCATCTCGTAGAAGCATGGTACTTGTGCAACTATGCCTAGCGCATGATCAACTCAAGGGTCCAGCCACCCACTCGTACTCGCGAGGACAACACAAAAGATATTACCTGACCCAGACACCATCGCAACAACAGCAACGGAAAAACGTGGCGCGTGGTTTACAGAAAGCTAACCACCCCTGTCGGTGACGATGGTCAATACGAGGATCCATTTGCTTGGCGATCCCAATGGGGTTCAAGTACCTGCATCCTCGGCAAGGTCCTCACCAAACCACACACAGAGCAGATTGCGGGGATGGGGAACTTGTGCGGTAGCAGTCAGGCTTTCTCCAACAGACCGTCATTCGGAGGAGCGATCCTACCGTGATCTGCTACTACAGGTTCAGTCAGATGTATAAGTGAAGGTGTGCCAGTGGCATCACAACACCATCTCTTTTTCTTCACCTCTCTACCGACCTTCCACCCTCCGCAGTCATTTGCACCTTAATCGTAATACCCAACAGTCACTCGCTTTGACCACTCGTTCAATCATCAGCAAAAAAATGAAGTACGAATTTGCCCTCATGGCCGGCGTGTAAGTGAACCCTCTTTCAACTACCTACATTATATGATGCGATGGTCGTACTGACAGTGAATAATAATAACAGTGCCGTCGCTTTCACCCCCCCATCCCCACAGCCTCCCTCTCAAACCGGCTGCCCTACGGTGACGGCAACCCGCGAGCTCTGCGCCACCTGCACCATCCCAGCCTGCCTCGTCATCAGCACGCTGATCCAGAACTGCTTGTGCCCGACTCCCATCCCCACCGTATACCTGGATTTCCCGTGCGTGGATGGCGGCTGCAACGGCGCGGGATGCTCTACGTCCTACCAGATCTTGACCCAAGAGATTGGCTGCCTGTCCACAAGCACCTATCCCCCTGGTCCTAGCTCTACAGGCTCCGGAACTCCCAGCAGCGCCACCACCTACTCACCTGGCCCTAGCTCTACCGGCAAACCTTCCGGGGACACGACCGCGACTTGGGTCACAACCCAGACAACCACCGAGTGCACTACTGACGAGCCCGAGCCGACTTACACTGACACCGTCACATCCACTGAGGACTGCACCACCGATGAGCCAGAGCCGACTTACACTGATACCGTCACCTCCACCACGGACTGCAGCACTGACGAGCCGGAGGAGTCCACTTCCACGACCCTCATCACCGTCACCAGCACCAAGCCCTGCCCGGGATGCCAGCACACCAGCAGCTTCGAGCCGGACGACGACACTACTACAACTCTGCCCCCTCATACGCTTTCCAACCCTCCCGTGAGCAGCGTCACTCCTGCGCCCAACGGGACCTTCCACTCGACCACCAGACTTCCCTGGACCACTTCTCTCAGCAGCTCGGTTGTGCAGGGCGGTGTTGGCCGGATGAGGCCCTTCTTTGGTCTGGGTTTCTGGTTCTAAGCTGGAGAATGATGGGATGTGAAGAGATGAGATGGACTTCTAGTTAATGTTGGATTTAATGACTTGGTATGAAGGAGGAATAAGAGGATGGCTTGGTGTTTTGGATATTTCAGGGACAGAATGTTTAGATTATTTATCTTGAAGTTGGCCCGCCTTGCCATCTCTCTATCGTGACTCCAACATGAGAGGGCCAAAAAGTCGTGACATGACCTATGTCGGAACTCATTATCGTGTTACACAACCTCCAGGACAGAGATGACTGCCTCGGTGTACATTAGGTACATTCGAGCGAAGTGAGGCCTGGGGGTTTGACTTTG